AATGAGGACCTTAACTCTGAGATCTTTAATAAAACTCTATTTGAGTTTATCAATATTTGGTAAGATCTTATAAGTATTCTAAAATTTTATTGTAGTCAATCTATATTGAATTCAATCATATTGATTGACAGAAATAAGCCTAATCTACATTAATAACTAGAAAAACTGCTTAAGGTTATTGTCAATAAAGGCTATGATGATGGAAAAACTTTGTACCAAAGATGTCTCCTGAATCTTGCAAGTAATCCTCCTGGTACATTTTATATAACAGAATTTTACAAGATCCTTTAAAAGTATCGATATTAAATTGTTATTGATTTCAAAATAGACACTTCAAAGATTGTAATTCTTAAGAAAAAGAAATAAATTATCTTCTGGATTAGTCACCTTTGACTATGCTCTCTTAGATAGACAGAATATTCCCCCCACTCTAAGTTTCCACCTGAGACATCTTTACTTTAGATTCAATATTCTTACAATGCAGAGAATGATGATCTCTAAATAATTTTTTATGGCATATCTGACTACTACATAAAGGAATAGATTGAATTCCTCTAAGCTAATTTCATTCATTTGAGAAATAATCCTGATCAGCAAGTTAAAAAGAATTCCTAACAATAGTAGATGAGAGATTAGACAGGATTCACTGTAGCCAAGGCTCTAAATGTAATGGCAGCATACATTTCACAAATGCAGAGTGAGCAATAAATGAGTGAGATACTCTAGTAAGTCATAAGAACTTGCACAAAAGTGAATGAGAACTCTTAATTCCAAGCAATAAAGAATATGCTCTTAGTATTCTCTGAATATAAGTTCTATCCTCTAATGCTTGAATAGATCTAGAGAAATTTCATTGAATTCTAATTTTACAAAAAATCAAACTATTTGCTTTCAGTTGAAGAGTTGCTAAACATTTAGCACTCAAGAATTCTTGATGCAATTTCTCAGAACTTAATTATTCAAATCACCTCTTCCAACTCGGAGTAAAAGTTTATAACTGTGATGACTAGACTTTAAGTTATAAGTGAAACTATCGAGGCTTATAGATTAAATTTGTTGATATCATAGTCAAACAGATTTGAGTACCTTATGATATTGGAAAAGCTTTCTAGATCAGTAAGAGATTAACAATATGAAGATATCAGAATGATTCTAAAAGATCTGAATGAGAGACTTTAGGTACCTGAATAGCTATATATTCCAGTGTTTAAGATTATGGAACCTGCAATGCTCAATTCAAACTTCTAGCTTAGCCTCGATCAATACTTAATTCTCAGCAAATTGCTGCCTCACATTGATAAGAATTCTAATGATAAAGAATTTGGGAAATTATTATGCTATAAAGCGATCACTATTTGATGTTTTGTTTTAGCTAATCATTAATTAATTGAATTATTAAATTTAGCAAATATATTTTTATATATCCAATTTGGGGTTTTGGGGTTTTGGGGTTTTGGGG